ACTTATATTTTAATATATTATATTTTCAAGGCTTCAGATTAGCACTTAAGCCTTGGGTTTGTTTGGTTTTTTAAATCATTTCTCCCTTCTTTCCTCTGTATCTGTTTTCTAAATTTTTACAGTTCCAAACAGCTCTGGTTTGTCATTTCCAGATGTTTATAAGCACCAAGATAACAATGGTCTCGTCCATGACTGCACCATTGAGAGCTACTGGAGCACTGCACCTACTACCTTTAAAGAAACCCAGCAACCCTGATACATGGCATTAAAATTAGTGTAAATTATCATGTGTGCTGCATAGATCCATAAGCAGAACCATCCACATTCTTGGGAATTCCACCTTGAGAAGACACAGAAGGAAGACTCTAAGGACTTCAGCTTAGTAAAGTTCAGCACAAAACTTTGCCATCGTCACATAGCTCATGAAGGAGCCAACTTTAATGCCACATTTGGTTCTGCCCAGTTCTCTTTTCACTCAGCACTTCATTAGCACAGTGAAGCTAAAATGAGTAATTTTCTATATATTGGGCTTTCCGCTAGACTTCTTACAGCATTTCTTGCCTTCACAGAGTTCTTAGGAAAGGAAATACACTGGGTTAGCCTTTGGTATGTAAATAAATAAATAGATAAAACCCAAACTCCAAACAAAACAAAAAAACAACGCCCAAGGGAGAACCAAACCAAACCAAACTAAACAAAGCTATGAGCTGACACATGAGTTAACAACTACAAGGATGCAAAGAAAAGCCCCTTCTGTTCTCCATGGGGTGACAAAGCTGACCTTGTGTAATTAAGCCAAAGTGCCATCTTTAACTATATGGTACCCTGATACACACTTCAACAACAGCATTTTTTAAAAGGTTTTCACCACAACTACTTGGGGTTTTTCTTTACTCAAGTATAAATTTTAATGTTTTTTTTTAACTGGAATGACAAAGCAAAGCTAATGAAGAAATAATTCTTTCAAAATACATCTTTTCAACTGGCTAATTGGTCTAAGAGAGTATCAACTTTAACTTATCTATGCCAATTTCTACTGCCTAAATTTTTTTTAAAGGTCTCTATTTCTAGAAATTCATATAAGCATCCTCCTTCCTCTTAATGTTTCATACCATGTAGCCACTACCAAAGGATAGACAACAACTCACTATCAAGGTATGGGTGTGGATTAAACTAATTCAACGATGGCAAAGCAGTTATCCTAGTCTGAAATCAAGAGCCTTCTTGCTTTCTTGATGCTGAGACAGGAGAGCATTATTCTCCAAGTGAGCTGAGCAGCTCATCATGGCAGTTTTCCATATTTCAACAGCAGAGACAAGCCCTGAAACAGGCTTCACATATGGCCAAAAATTACCAGACAATTCCAAGCAAATGGATTAACTGATGGTTCTCAAATCACAGACACTTTTTTTTTTCCCCCCTCAGGAATAAACTTGCCTCTTTAAAGGGGAACAGAAGGGTTTTTTCCCTCCAGAAACATTAAATTCTAACGTTTTCCTATATGCTACTTTTCATCAGAACTACTTACACTAGAAAATACTGACCCAGTTTGACAGCTTATATCAAAATTAATGGGAGCAAGACATACCTAGATTTATTATGTCTAGAACTGCATGAAAAACTTCCTTCTCTGTGCAGACAGAAAATTAGAGAGTAAAGCAGAACCAACACAGAAGAAGAAATGCATGTTTGCTTACTGTTGCAAAAGGTTTCTTCTATCAATAAAAAAAAAAATACAGAGCACCTCAGAGATCAGACTTTTAGGGCACTGACCTGATGTTCTTCATCTAGTCCATGTATTTCATGAAACAGATATGATGCAATGGCTGCTTCTAATCACTGATGTGCTGAGCTACACTTGGACTGGAGAACTAAAACTGAGAGATAATTATCTAACAAGGTCTGAAGTTGTCGAGAGCCTGATAAGGTACTTCATCTACTAAACATTCAACTGCAGAGTGATTAAAACAAAGCCAACTTACAAAAAGTGAAATCTAGGTTTTGAAACAGAAAAAGAAAAAAACGAAGAAGCCACACAGTGAACATGGATGTCCCGAATTCTTACTAAGTTATCCTGAGGCATTGAACAGGTAACTTCTCCATAGAATGACATGGAGATTACAAATAGGCATGGAAGTGTTTTTAAGTTTAGGAAGTTTGTTCTTTCACAAATTATGTATTTACTAAGCTTTATTTCTAGTTATTAAAATATTGAAAATAATTTACTATAAGAATATATTTCACCTTCTTGAAGCTGGACTGGTTCTGCTGAGTTTTCACCACTCATTAACACAACAAAGCCTGCAGCTGTTCGGACTGAGGCTTGCCATGTTGACAAGGCAACAGGTGGTTCTTGGCATGGGAAAAGGGCTCTGTTGTTTATTGGTGATCCCATTGTATAAACACATGGCCTAGATGGAAGGAAAAAAGATTGGAGTTACAATAAAAAAGACTGAACTAAGTTCTCTACCAAAAATCAATAAAACTGTTGTACTGAGGTGTTGTTTTTATATCTCACCTTTGTCAGTTTCAAACCAGTATGACATGAACCAATCAAAGTATGATCTGACTCAATTAAGACAAGATAAACAAGATTACCACTATTATTTTTACATAAACTAGAAAAAAACTAACTGATCTTTCCCTTCTCTTGCTTTTGCACGAGTCTTCCAGCCTCATACAATAGCTTCCAAGTGAACCCACAAGACCAAAGAAAGTTTCTGAGTATCTTTTGAAGATGCCATTGCAGGGCTTCACCAACACCTGTGACACTTCCCTGTCATCCCCTCAAAGTAGTGCTCCTACTCCAGGATTAACAACCTGGAGGCTCACGCAAACTCAGCTGTACATCCAGTTTTGAGTCTTCTGTAGTCCAAACCCCAATAAATCCTGATATTTTTACATTTATTCTTGCAGTAAGGTAATGCACCCTAGCTCACCTGTTTTTTAAAATTTCAATCACAGGGCATATAATAAGAAGAAAGAATTTCTTCTCTATCAGTTCCAGCCTCCTTCTCATTTTTCACATTTGAACTTTCCTGGTAGTATTGCTCTTTTTACAGTTTCTCTTACCCTATCCTAGGCAGCAGCTGCTCCATCTACTGCCCCTTTCCAATTTCCACTGCAGTATTTCATGCCAGCCAATTTCTCATTAGCCACTTAGCCACAACTGGGAAGTTAGCAAGGCCTTTAACTAACTCCTTCTAGCTTGCTGTTGTTGGTGGATGAATGTAATGATCCTTGGTTTACTTATTTTGTTGCATTTTTCAGCTTTACCTTAATTCCTATTACTTGCATAACACCACCCCTTATATAAAACAAACACGGTCAGTAGGTTTCTCCAACAAAACAAAGAAAATCTTGAAAGCACCACTTCCTTACACAGTTTTTTTTTAAGTTTTGACATTTAAAGCTAATATTCTAGAAGGACAATACATTATTTTGTGAATGCTTGAGGCTAAAACTATTTTGATCACTGTATTTCATTACTTGAGTTTAAAAATCATCAAAATACTTTACGAAATAGGTGACAAGTTGTTAAGGCAAAACTATTCTGCACCAACTAAAATCTCAGCATCTCTTTTACTCTTCTCCAAACTGCTCCTCCATTCAAATTACTCCTCACCTAAAGCCAACTCTGAACTACAGAGGGGGGAAAAAGCTTGGAGATACTGACAGTCACACATGAAAAAAATTCTCCAGATATATTGCCCTCTTGTCATAATTGTTATCTGTGCTATTGGATGCAGAGCTGTCCATGGCACAATCAAGTTACTGTGGCTTAACTAATGCAGGCCAGCAGACCTTGCAGTAAATAGGGATGGAAACTGCAGCTTAAGTAGGCCTATTCTTAATGCACACAAACAAGAAAAGAGAATAATCTGACTCCCCCTGACATGTATAAGAATGACTTGCTTAGGACATAGATACCCAGCAAAGCTCAGTTAACTTCAGTGAAGACAAAGTCAACGGGCTATCTTCTAACCAGTAAAACACAATGTACAGCTAAATGTAAAACATCACTATTCTGTATACATTTTTAATTCGCTTCATTTATTTGGAATTCAACTCCTAAAACTGAACCTGTAATTAACTCTGTAGTACATAAAATATTTGGGTTTTCTCCCATAAAAACAAATGGTGCATGGCAGTGAGTTCACAAGAAAAAGGAAGAGCTTGCTTTTTCACCTCCCAGGAGGATCTGCTGCCAAGAGATACGGGACTTATTATTATTTTATATATATATACGGGACTTATTATTATTATATATACGGGACTTATTATTATAATTACTAATTATTATTATTAGTTACCCTAAAACACATGTGTGCTGGGAGGGGATGGGGATGAAAAGATAGTTCCTCATTCATGAAAACTTTATCAAAATACATAGTTATAAAAAGAGACCCTACTAGAGTTTATAGGAATGAAAGGAAAGGTGGGGTTAATGACATATTTTACCAATGACTTGTGAAGGCTCTTTTCTTGCGTGCCAATGGTACAACCTAGAGCAGTACAGGGGATTTTCACATTCTGAAGAAATTTTAGAGGGAACTGCCACAATGACAGAAATCTGACTGGTAGAACAGTGCTAATATGAATGTTTTGATGCTGTGTCAAATACAGTATAAACATAACACAGAATAGACACTACCAAGACCACTAATGTTACCTGGCTCACAGACAGCACTTTTACCTGCAGACCGTAAGGTGTTTTACAAATAATGTCAATACCATTTTGCAGATGTGGAAAATAAAACACAGTGAACAGATTTGCTTAGGGCTAGTGTACAAGCTATGCCAAAAGCTTAGTTTCAAGCTTCCTAGTCCAATAGTTTTCATATTTCACATTCCCTTTGTAAGAAATAATACATATTATATAATGACTTTTTTTTTTCCTAAGACATTGTAATACTAAAACATACACACAGGCAGATCACAAGTCTCTACAATAAAGGCCCAAGTAGAAAGTGAGAAGGAAAATGGAGGAAGACTGGTCAAGTACAAAATCTTTTCTTCAAAGTTAAGATTCCTTTCCACTCCTCAATCATTTAAACACAATTTTTCTCCATATATTAATTACATTATTTTATACCTAAATATATTCAATTATGTCAGTCTGCTAAGGAAACAGTAATGAAACAGACATGTTCTAAATTTTGAGAGGAAACTATCAGAACAACAATTATAAAAGATTTTAATAAGATATTTGCAATACTTCATTTACAGTTGCAATTTCTTTTTGCAACATTGGTGATAGTGCAGTGCAATAGTTACTTTACAACATCCACTGCAGCTGACAATTTTCTTTGTTCTGGTCAGACAGAACAATTCCAGCACATAAGAGGATGAGGACAAGAAACATAATTCCTACCCATATATGGATGAGAGGCTTCACTTGATCCAGTAAAATTACTAGCTAACCTAGGTACTTCAAAGAATAGCAATGACAAATAATTAGGTTTAGACTGCTTTTGCCAATTGACACAATATTTGCTTTCCCCCCCCTCATTTATCTCAACCCCTGCTAGCAAGAAACTTCACAGTTCCTTTCCTTTTTCCTGCTATTTATCCTCTTCATCTCTGGTCTTTCACTCTGAATGGTCTTAGAACATTCAAATCATCTACTGCGACTGTATCTTGTGCAGTATTTATGGCAGCCATAATCTTTACCAAGAGGCTGGAAGGCATAAAGAAATAGAATACAGCAAAAGAAAGATAAGCAGAGAACTCAGGCTATTTGCCTAATTACTTGCTACAATGGAAAAACAAGTGCCAACAAAACATGTCAACTTTATGTTGTATGTATGACTAATAATTCCCAGTGAACAGCCATCCAGGCTACTGAAGAAATCAAGTATTACTTATGGTATTGTTTGGCTTTGCTCCAAGAGCAGACTTGGGATTGTCTGTTGTTCAGTAACTTCTCTGAGGAAAACTTGATTCGTGCAACCCTAACTCATCAGTAGTCCACATATTTTCACAACATAACAAAACCAGTTCAAACCAGCTCTTGGCAGATGTCCCTCTCCCATGTAAGCCTATCAAGTATAATAAGAAATTAATATACTACCTTAAAGCTAATAATACATGTTCAGCTGATTCTCCATTCTCTGAATGGGAATCTGCAGGCCTTGAGATACCTGCCATCAAACACCTGAAACATGTCCTAAGGCTCAGACATGTCAACCTGCTTTGGTTACTGCCTGTTCAAGGCTTTCTCCAGGAAAACACCCAGCTCAGCAACTCTATCCCTTTACTGCATTTGAAAAAATACATTCCCTATTTCTTCAAGTGTGGTCTCCATTTAAGGATGTAAGGTGGTGACCTCTTGCAACTGCAAGGCCACTCCCTGTAAAACCACTGCTGTTTGCAGCTGTTTCATACCCTAAATTACACTCCTGTTTCTGTAATCTCATTTCTGCAGGATTTCTGTTGCTTCATGGCATCTAAATCACACTATGACATGAGAAATCCAACAAACTTCAAAGTACTTCATTAATTACTCAAATATAAATATTCATTACTCGAAAAAAAAAATTACACGCCACAACAGTAGAGAATTCCACACAGCTGAGGGTAACCTCTTAGAATTTAGTCTGTGACGTGCCAGGGTTCTTATTCTACCAAACCTTGCCCACAAAGTAAAACAAGCTCCTTATTCCTTTCCTGCCTTTCCAGCATTCAAGAACACAAAATGATGCCGTCATGCCACTGAAAAATAAAGATATGGTTTAATAACACATTTTCTAATTTGTCTCCCTTCCAAACTAACCTCAGTGGTATATGCCAAACTAACCTCATAAGGCATTATTTTCCTCCATGACTTACTTTCTGCTAGATTAAGCAGAACCTGCTAGATTAATATGCCTTATCACCCAGCTGTATACACACCTGTGCCATCATACCAGTGTGATGGAAGGAGCTAACATCCAGGTTTAGAGAGGTCAAGAGTGACTCTTTCAGCAAGTGTATTTTGGTAGGCTTCCTGGTAATTTCTTTATAGCTTTCCCATCTTCCCTCTTTCCATTAGTACAAGTCAGCTCCCTGGTTGACTTTTTTGTTTGGCCCCAAAAGTCCACACAGGGAAATGCTGAAATTCCACATGTTCAGTTGCTCTACTGAAAACGTAAGTGTGCCCTGCTCTGATAACACGTTTGTATACACATATCTCCACTTGCCTAAACTCATCCCACAAACTTTTGATTCAACAGATTTTTTTGGTGCATATTATAATACATCACTGTTTAAAGTAAATAAAATGGAATTGTTGATAAAATTGCACATAGGCTAAATTTCAAAATGTTTTACTAATGTTAAATTAGAGGAAACATTGGAAGTGGCCACACAATGCTTGTACTTTGTTGTTCACTCTTCTTCAGGGCTGGAAACACAGTATAGACTTCTCTGGCAAGGGATTTGACATCTGCCTAAAAAAAGCACCATACACATAATTTGGAACAATTTAAAGAATTCTCCAATGAGAATATAATGTAATAGGACTCTATACATTATAAATGGGTTTTATTTCTAGAAAGGGAAGGAAAAATATGAGTGCTTACCCCTATATTTACGGGCTTATCACATATAGAATTTGACTTTAAAAATGTACTAAGAAAAATTCCAATGACTGTAGTATGAAAACTGATTTTCTGACAGGCATTAGTTTTTGGAATACCCTACAAAAGCCTGAAAATAAACCAGCTTGAGACTATTTGCTAACATCAAACAGCCTGATCCATGTCAATTCATCTTTTCCTACACCATTTTTGATTCATAAAATTCCATCCGCTTGTGTACAACTGCCATGAAATGTCACTGAAATAAGAACAATGCTTTGTAGTGAAAGGAATAAAGAGTCAAAACTGTTCCTGATTTAGATGCTTAAAAGAAACATTCAAATGCTCAGAACACACAGAGGAGGTGTCCTGTGCCAGCTGAGTGTTGCTAACACTAGTTAGCAGGGCAGGTAGACGGGCAACCACCTTTGCATGCAGTCAAATTTAATACTTTTCGTAACTATAGATACTATATTGAGTTAAATTTCCTAAACTCATACCAAAAATAA